CTGACCTGTCAAGCAGGATAGCCCAAGGAGGAGATGACTCCCTCTTGGGTTAAATTGTAATTTCAGCTACAATTCTCTTTGGACTCCTTGAAATCTCTGCTTTGCTGTGATTTTATTAAGATCTTGGCTGGTGTGCCGGCAGCCAGCGAGCTTGGTCCCCAGGCTTCTTCCTAACCAGATTACCAGATGATCCCCCTCAGAAGGAGCATCATCGCATTGTGTTAATACATCACCAAGCAATAATTAGGTGCCCCTATAGTCCAGAAAATGCTGAAGATAAAGAGCCAGCAGATGAACGAGCCCATGGTGACACAAGATCCTCCTTCACTAACAGATTTCTGTCGTCAAGCCATTTCTACCAGCCAAAAAAGGTGATAAGGATCAAAGCAAAGAATTTAAAGCTCCTGGTTATTGCAAACAGGAGCTTCGTTTTGCCTGACAATTTTTAAAGCCCTGCAGAACCAATGCTCTTGTTCCTGCTTCCCCCTCGGTTCTCCTTTAGGACAGGACAAGAAAACCTTCCATCATCTTCTCCTCATTCTCTCTCCTTTCTGGACATGACTTTTGTTCATTTTTTTCCCCAAACAACCCTTTCTCCAACTGTTTTAAGACTGGCCCAACGTAAAACATTCTGTATTATGGCTTAAATAGCATCCACCAGACACTGTGAACTTGCTTGCTGCGTACGAGTGGTGGGATGGTGGGTCCCCCACCACCTTCAGAAGAAGTGTACCATGAGCAGCAATCTCAGGGTGGACCTGCTGTGACCATCACCCCAATCCCTCCAGCTGGCCCCCCCTGGGAACAGCGCTCTGCTCCCAGCGTAGCAAGAGGGGTTGCACCTTGCTGGCAATGGGGAACGCTGGTTTAGAGCCAATTCCTGTGAATGAGGCCTTTTGACTACCTGGCAATTTTCATCAGAGAATCAAAAGAATCATTTGTTTTCTTTCACTTTTGGCTACCAAAATTGTTTTGTCTCAAAACAAAACAACGGAGTATTGGTTTTGGCTTCTATAAGATGAAAAATAAGTTTGGTTGATGTAAAGAGTGTGATTTGGGGGGGGAGGCAAGAGTCAAATTGCATAAATTAAAAAAAATTCACCAAAGGTTTCATGCAATAAAAAAAAATCCCCTAAGGTAAGGTTTTTGAAAGCCAAATTAGATATTAAGCCTCTTTTGTTTCATTGTCAAAAGTGATGAGTTCTGGTCTAAAGTGGTATTTGCAAGCCAAAGTCGGACTGACCTTCCAGAAAGGCTCTGAGCTCCCCCCACCCCCCTGTTGCTTCAGGAGGTGGCCTTCAGGGCACCTAAAACTTTGCACCTCCTTTCTGCCTACAGAGACAGTGCTAAACCTTGGGCCCATCAAAGGAAGCAGCCAAGCTGCAGGCGAGGTCAATAGGACCAGGTTGCTGTTTGCAGCCTCCTTTTTTGGTTGGACAATATCACATCATCTCAGTGAGAAGAAAGAAAACAAAGCAGTGTCAAAAGAAAAATAAATCGGAACAAACCATGTTTCAGCACAGCTATTATTTTTTTTTCTGTATTTCCCCCTCTCTACTGATATGTAAAAAAAATATATATTATATTATATTTTCCTTTTCTTAAATTATTTTTTTCAGCCTCAGTCCCAGCCAAAGTCCTGCCCCGTCATCTGGTAGAACTTCATGTTGAAGGGCCGGTAGAAGTCCCGCAGTCTCTGCACCACCTCCTGGTCTATGTCGGGGTGGGTCCTGCCTTTCGTCTTCCCCAGGCAGTGGGGTTTGCTGCTGCCTTCTGCCTTCTTCAGGCATGGGAAGCCCTTGGTTTTGTTGAAGTAGAAGTGTTTGTCGGTGATGATCCTCTTGAGGCCCAGAAAGTCCTGGACCCTGCCCAGCTCCCCCGCGGGGTCGCTGATCAGCCTCTCCCCGCTGACGAAGAGGATCTGCCCGATGGGGAAGTAGAGGAGCCAGTTCTCCAGGTGCTTGGCATAGATGCCAATCTGGATGGCGCTCCACGAGGTGTCAATCAGGCCCGTAGTCCTGTTTTTGAAGGTCAGGCTCTCAAAGGTGGGGATGTCAGGCTTCTTGGAGAGTGTCTGGGTGTAGTCCGAGATGGCTCTGGTCACGGGGTCCCGCACCACCACAATGAGCTTTGTGCCCTTGGACATGGAGGAGATGCGGGCTGGGGCCTCCTTGGTGACGAAGTAGCTGGGGGTCTTCTCCATGGTGATCTGACCCTCCAGGGTCCGGGGCATGAGGTCCCTGAGAGAGGAGGAGAGAGGGACACGTTAAAGCTGACTGCCCTGGGTGGGTCGGGGGAGCTCAGCGCGGGGGTGCTCTGGGGGTGGTCCGGGTACCAAGGGCAGGATGCTCTTCACCCCCACACCTCCCATCCAGCTTCCTTGTGTGGGTAGTCAGGAGGCTCTGATTCAGCAAAGCATCCAAACACACTCCCGATTTCCCACTCCCTTTGGCTGCCTATTTGCCTAGAATTAGACCTAAAACTATTTTGCCTATTCAAGGTCTCTAAGGGGCTTCGTGATGGGGATCCCACCTCCTTCTTGCGATGGTACTGCAAGTACACAGCACATCTCTACAATCCTCATCTCCTATCCCTTTAAATTTCTCCCTGCCCACACTGGGGTTTCCTTCACATTGGCTTAAATTCCCTGGAATAACAGTGAATTTCTGGAGTAACAACACTCCCTTCCTGCGGGGCACAAGGGATTTTCGAGGGCCAGGATGTGAGACTCTATCTTTTGGTATTTTCAAGGTGGCAGCAAGCTGATGTCACATAAAAATGTGCAATATCAGCCCCCTGACCTCAGCGATTTCCTTCTTCCACCCAAAGAAATCCTACACGCAGGCTGCTTCGGGAATCTCTCCCAGCTGGGAGCAGGAAGGGGCCTGGGGCTCGGGCCGGGGTCTGTCCTGCTCCATCATAGCCTCCTTGAGAGTTCAAAGCCCTCCTGGTCCAGGCGTTGGGTATGATTTGCTAAAGGACCACAGGATTTGGCTGCAGGATAACCCGAGCTCCTCTGTGTTAAACAAGGCAAGCCAGGAAGGTGTAGGAGCCACAGGAGCAGCCGTTTGCTCCTTCTGGGTGCTCCCAGCTCCTCTCCTTGCCTGCCCGCACCACATCCCATCCGCCCCATTCACATCACCCTGTTATGTCACCCCTGGACAGGAGCCAGCATCTGCAGAACACCAGTGGTTCACACCATCATCACTTGGTTACACAAACCCATCCTTCCTTCCAAGCTCTCAGCAGAGTTTTCCTCTCCACAGCTTGGTCTCCTTCCAACGGTCCAGTCCTTCCCGGGGGGAATGGGAGATGGAAGGGGGGTGGCTGCAGCACCGGCGAGGTTCGCCACCGTGCCACCAGCAGTTCTCATGGCAACTGCGGTCCCAGCCCTGATGAGCAGGGACCTGGATCCCCCCCATGCCCTGACCCCTCGTCTTTGACCTCGCCGCGGTTGCGATACCTATGTGCCGTGATGAACTGCTCCCTGCCTGCATTGCCACTACCGTCTTGCAGCAGCAACATCTGGTTTGCAAACCTGTGCAATATGCCAGCAAAATTAAACTCATCTATCAAAAAAGCAACAATGAAATGCCAACAACAGCTAAAAATACCAATAACAACCAAACCCCAGGCTGAGTCGTTACATTACAAATGAGGCAGCGAGGATTGACCCTTCCTAAAGCAATTCTTTCTATTTGCAACCACGTTACACAGAGGCCGAGCAAAGACATGGTCCTAGAGAAGCCAAATCTTTGCTCGTCTCTGCTAAGGGTTTCTGTTTGGGGGGAAACTCCATGAATTAGGGACATTCAGGCTGGAGAAGAAACAAGCTGAGGGGTATGAAAGCGCTCTCGCACAGCCTGAAGGACATGAAGCCATAAAGGCAATTGCTGCTGACACTAAGGATGGAGAAGGGTTCAAAACCAGCACAAGGATGTCTCTTGCCGAGCAGACACACAGTTCTATGGTGGGGTTTGCCATCACCTGATGCTGCAAAGACCAAAACTGTAAATGGTTCAGAAACAGATTGGCCAAATTTATGGTGGATGGAATGAGTTGGTGGCAATGAAATGTGAGAGTCCCAGTCACTTCAGCCACAGGGAGTCCCCAACCCTGACTGCCCTCAGCTGGGAGGAGATACCAGGAAAAGAAGCCCCACAAACCACCAGCTTTCATGCACTCTTCTGTAGCTACCTGATACCAGCCACCATCTGGAAGAAGGTCCTGGGCTGGACGGCTCTTTGCTCTGGCCCACTGCAGTTGTTCACATGGGCTTTTTTGCTCTGGGCAGTCTCATGCATCACCTTCTCACCCCATGTGCAACAAGCCTGCATTTCTCAGGTGTTGCGTTGGTGCCCGCCGGTTTGGGAACCCTGCAACGACCGAGTCATCTGGAAGCACCTGAACCCCCCAAAGGGTGCAGGAACCAGGTCGTGCCCCCCTTCCCTGCTGCCCGCCGGCTCAGTGCCCAGCTGGTCCCTGCCCCTATAACACAGCCTCCTGCAACCACGATTTGCTGTTGAGCAAGAGCCGCTGCACCGGCAGCTGAAGGTGAGCTGACTTCTGTTGGTGTTTTGATAAGTGTTGAAATCTCCACTGTGTCTTCCCAAGGAGCAGATTAACCCCTTTTGTGGCGAGGCTGCAACACAAAAGCTTTCTTCAGCGCCCAGGAATGAGCCCACACCGCCGCTGCCAGGGCCGGTGGACAGGGACATGCCAGGAGCCACAGGGAATGTGCTACCACAGCTTTTGGGAGATTAATTAATTACAAAGGGCATCTTTCATGGATGTAAACAGTTGCCTGGAGGCCTCCCTGGACTAATGGCATCTGGGTTTTATTGCAAAAGAGCCACTTGAAAAGACAAGAACCACAAAAATGTTTTTGGCAAGAGCAGCCACCAGTGGGCCCTGCCAGAATAAATGGATTCTGTTATTTTAATTTTAGTAGAGCTTGGGGCTTTATTTAATTACTTAATAGGGGAGGAAGACTTTCCTCAAAGGGAGCATTTCGGCTATGTACGCTCATTCATATCTGGCCTTTTCCAGGCCCGTACTTTCTTCCCAGCAGTGGTGTCCGAGGCGGCCGTTCCTGTGTCCGGCCAAAGCCCCTGGAGGTTAGCTCATGGGGCTGCTGCTCATGGGGGGGTTGTGCTCCCTTCCCCTCCCCAACGGGCTTTGCAGGACTTCACTTTAGTAATGCAACGGGGTGGATTTGCCTTCCCTCAGAGCTGCTGCAGCAAAGCCTCCAGCACCCGGCCAGGGTGGGAGAGGCATGGCGGCAGGGTTGGCTGCCTCGGCGGGCCGGGCTGGGGGGTGCTGTGCACGGGCTGAGCACCATCTGGTTACTGGTCCTGATCCAAGTGACGCACACAGTGCTGCACCCTGGTGTGCCCAGCCCTTGACATCGACACTTTAGTGCTGGGGTTGCATAAGGACATCCCAGTAAGAGCCTCCCAACCCTCAGCCACTCCTGGTGTGGGAACTGATCCTGGGTGTCATGTTTATTACGGCTTTTATATCTCTTTATTGATGGTACAACAATGCCTTTAAAACGCTTGGCTTTAAGTTTCCCGGGGCAAGCAGGGTGTTGGCTCAACCCCTGAGATCAGAGGGCACAGAGACGCCACCTGAGCCCAAGTCCCTGTTCTTAGCAAGAGCACAGCTCTGGGGAAGAAAGCGTCACTTTATGGCAAGAAATCAGAATAACAGATCCATCTCCCTCCGTACAAGACTGAGCACCGAAGGGCTGAGTCTTTCTGGAAATTCAGCTTGGAGGAATGGATGCAGTGATACATGGTGGTGGCTGCCACCAGCCCATGCCGGGGACCCCCCCAGCTTTGTCAGGGGATGGGAAATGGGGTGAAGCAGCTGTTTTGCTTCAGCTGATTTGTACTGTTGTCCCACCAGCTCAAAGCAGCAAAATAAGCTGGCGATTAGTGAGAAAACAAGCATCGGTTGTTCCAGAAATGGGATTTTGGGAGGCAGCCTGTTTCAGGTAGGAGAGGCAGCCCCGTGCTGTTGTGTTTCCCGCAGAGGTGGGAGCTGCTCCTGGTGTTGGGTCCTGAAACCAAGGTGAGCTTTGCTGTGTGGAGTCCGGCTGCTGCTTTGCTCCCAGCTGGACCAAGCAGGTCCCTGCTTGGGACCTCCTGGGCTCCTTCGCAGCATGCAAGGCATTAAAAGCAGTGGGGATGGGCTGGCTGCAAGGCTTTCCCACATAAATCTAGTCCAGCTCTCTCCCAGAGGGAGGCTGAAGTCGGCAGATAAGGGCAGCTCTTCACCAGGCCTCGCACCATCGCAACCCAGAGCGATAAATAAAGCTGCTGTGATTACAGCGATCAGCCCCATGTGCTCTCTGGCCTCTAGTAAAACCCGTCCCAGTCATGTGCTAAGGGCAGGACTCATCTCCTCTTAACCCCAGAAGGTGAGTTCCTTCTCCCTGGCAGTCCCAGTTTGACTTTTTTTAAATTAATCACCCTATCAGAGCCCGGGTATCCGGGCTAGAGGGATTGAAATGATCATGCAGAAGCAGGCGTGCCAGCCTGGTGCCGCAGGGAGGAACGGAGGTGCCACTGCCCAGCCCCGTGCTGCCGGGGTCGGCACTGCCTTGCGTGGAGGCAGCGCCTCACCTGCAGGGTCTTGCACACCCTTGTCCACCTGAGTGCACGGCCAGGTCTACCTCAAGCTCATCTGCAGCAGCAAAGGGAGTCTGTGCACTGCCTGCAATGGCAACTGCAACGCAACCAAGGAGGATGAGGATGCAGAGAACAGGTTTGGCCCCGCACAGGGGTATGCAGCTTGCAGCAACACAGCTCCTTGGTGCTGACACGGGGACAACCCAAGACAAATGAGAAGTGAAGGAGAAGGATCAGTCCCCTGCTCACCAAATGCTGATGTCCTGGTCCCAGCACCAGCAAAATGGGGGTGGCTGAGATGTGGGCTCAGCCCATCCCTGGGGCAGCCACAGCTTTGCTCGGTGCAGGAGGGGCGAGCAGCACGGGTCTGCAAGCACCCCAGCAAACACAGCAGAGCCTGAAAGTGCAGAACCACCATCAACCAAGGCCTGAGATGTAGTAACACGTGCAGCTGGGACATCGGCTTGGCAGTGACAGCTCAGGGGCATTGCTCGTGTCCCTGGACCCCTCCGGCACGCTGCGGGGCTGACTTAGTGCTCTCCCCACCCACGTGCAGCAGCACAGAAGCAGCGAAGGAGGAGCTGCGGCTGCAGAGCCTCCTTCTCCGGCATGCCGATGTTTACCCTTACCCTTGGCCGCATTCCCGCTGACCTGGCCCCAGCCCCGAAGGGGCACGCAGGCCGGGAACCATCTGCTGGATAAAGGACAGGAATGAAGCAGAAACATGAAGCCGGAGTTCCGCACAGCCTGTTTACACAGAGCAGGGCTTTCCCAAAGGTACAAAGTCACGAAGGCGCGGGTGATTTTTAGCTATCAGGATCTTTCCATTGCACAGCCTGCAAGTTGCAGCGGGGCTATGAGATAAAGAAGACGCAGAAGGGCATTGCTTACCCCCACCCTGCACCCCAAGACACCTTCCCCGGACAGCCTGGGCTGGGGAGCACCTTGCTCCAGCCTCCAGCTGCTTTTGCCACCAGAGACAAAAGTCTACACTACAGGTGCAAGCAGTGGGATATACCCAAAGAAATAGTGGGGAAGGAAAGCCCTGGGCAGGTATCAGACAATCCGAGGATGCTCACCAGGATGTTTCCATGGCTCAAGGTGAGCTGCCACCGAATGCGATACTAAATGCCTTAGAGCAATCTTCAGAGAAGAAACCTGCCCTCCCTTACTTTTTGCCATGCTCAGCTTAAACCAGATGCTGTCTGGTTTTGCTCCAGATTCAATGGCCAGGGTTCGGCTGGGGTTTGGAGTACCCCAGCCCGCAGCAGCGGTGGGAAAGGAAGTCTCTTGTGGTGGCAAGTGTTGTTATTAAGGAAATGCCACCAAAGAGGTCATCGCAGGAAAAAACATATCAAAGAAATGCTGCTCTTCCTGAAAGAGCCCAACAGCTCTGCAATCAGCTGTGGGACCTTGCATCCCACGGAAGAGCCTTTCCGGCAAGAAAGGGCCAGATCTGCTCCCAGAAATGTAACACGGGGTCACGGGGAGGACTGGGGACTCTCCCACCAGCAAACACCAGTCCCGAGTCCTGCCTCTGCACCATGAAGTGACAACATGGTTAAAAATGAAATTGGCTTGTTCATGCAAAATTGTCTGGTCTTTGTGTATGGGAGGAAGAAGAGAAGGAGGAGAAAAAAGTATATTCCCTTAATCTCTGGGAGCCAGCAGTGTTCAGGGCTTGAGGGGACACCCCCCCCTCCATCAACCACCCAAAAAACCAAGCAGCAACTGAGATGGGCGCTGACACTCTCGTGCCCTTTAGTCCCATGTGATGGCATTTTCTGCCCCTCTCACTTGTGTGCTGCCTTCAATATGTCAAGCGTGATGTGACTGCTATGGATGCTATGGCAAGGCCAGGAGAACAGAGCAGAGGGGGACAATTAACTGCCCGAGGGGGCTTATTTCATCTCTCACTTCCCTACAGACACACTGCCAGAATTCCTGTCTCTGGGACGGGGCATGAGTGTGGATGGAACACAGCTGGCAGTCCCAGGGGAATACAGAGCCTTCTCCAGCAGGAAGCAATTGAACGAGGAGGATGGGGAAACTGAGGCACGGCGAGGACCATGGCTTGATGCAGGCTCATGCCCCCGGAGGGGTGTGCTTTGCTCCCTGAGCTACTGCAGCCACCAGCGAGTTGTCTTGTGTGTCCCCCCATTCCTCTTTTTCTTCCAGATCATTTCAAGTAGTGACTCTGCAACAGAAATTTCTAAGAAAAAAAAAATCAAAACCTACTATCACAAGCGGTTGCTTCCCCCCTCCCTGCCCCTCAAGCCCACACCCTCAGAAGTACCATTACAGTGGGTACAGGAGATTGAAAAGAAAGATGCTCTGGCAAGAGTGACAACTTGATGCAACCAGTAATGTGTATGTATATATAAATTAAAAACTGTGGCTAAAAAGATGAATGTGTCCCTCCCTTGAGGCCGGTGTCTCAGCCCAGGGGCCATGCTGCCCTGGCAGCTCTAGCAAGGCTCCAAATTTGCTTTGATGAGTTCTGAGGGCATGTTGGAGTTAGCTGAACCTCCTGCTTTGCCTGCCTTTAGGTGTCGGGTGAAATCAATAAATGGAAAGATGCATTTCAAGAATCTGAAAAAAAAAACCCCTCCAAGAAAAGCTGTGGGACTGAGGGAGCTGAAGGGAGCATGGCAAAAGATCAGAGAGGTCTGGAAAGAAAAAAGAAAATCCCTCATTGTATTGCTGGATGTAAAATTGAGTCCAACTGACATTCTATCAAAGGGAGACTCTTGCCATTGGTTTTAATGGGGATGGATTGGGCTGAGGTTGGAGCAAAATAAGAGGCAGGAATGGCCCTGGGAGGGGACAACCAAGACTGTGGGTCTCTCCCATCCCTACCTGTCCTCTGGGTAAAGAAAACACTCAGGAAAATCTCGGTGTTACTGGGGGAACCTAGGACATCACTGTTACCTCCCTGAGGACACTCGCACTCTGGCAAAGCAACTGCGGTGGAGTCAGGGGCCTCAGGTTTTCTGCTGGCCCTGCTCTTCTGTCCCCACTGAACTGCTGCAGACCACGCAGGACGAGCACGTCACCGCTGGGGTAACGGTGGGTCAGCTCCCTCGGCCACAGTCAGAAAAGCATCCGGCAGGACTGCTTCATGTCTGCGAGCCGTAAATGGTCCTGGAGTTATTTGCTCCCCAAGATGTGCCGAGGAGCCTCCTGCCACCTTGTCACACCCCCTCTGCCCAGCTCAGTGAGGTCCCTCCCAGGACACTGGGGTTTTTTTGGTTTTTTTTTTAACTCTCCCCAAAACTCCAAAGAGGTTTAAAACCAAAGCGTACATGAAAACAGGGCCTCGTTGCGTTGAGCTGTGCTGAGATGAAAGGGTGGTTCTCAAAGTATATGGGGGGTATCATCACTTTTAGGCACTTAGAAAACACCCCCAAACCCAGACCCCATGGCAGGCAGCCAGCCCTGTCCCTGGAGCCCAGGCTGCAGGGACGGTCACTGCTGGGCGCTGCAGGCACAGCCCTGGCCGCGGGCATCGCTGCAGGGCATGGCCATGGCAGGCTGTTAATATGCCGCCTTCCTGGATAAAATGCTCCGGCAGAGGCAGGGCCTCTCCTCCGCCCACCCCCAAATCAGCCTGCTCCGTGCTGGCTGCTGGCCCACAGTCAGCCGTGGCGGGAGCGCCTGAGCTCGTCCTTATGGCGGATGCTGGCGTTTATTTGAGCAAGTCTCGGTATTTATGTATCTCATTACATCTGCAGCCGGTAGCATCTGTTTCCACGCTGTATCTGTCAAGCAGCATCTTATCAGCGGAGCTGCCGTCCTGTCCCTCCCTCCTCTCCTGCCAGCTTAGCTACCTCTGAAGTTTAGGAGACGGCTGACGGTCCAGCACGGGACACAGCCAGCACCCATCATGCAAACCTTTGCCTGAATTGCAGCCCGCAGGGCCACATGGATGCCCAGACGTATGCCCCATCCCCATGCAACCCCCAGCAGCAGCCAAAGCCAAGCGTCCCAGCCCCAAGGCAGGGTCTGTCCAGGGCAGGGTGAGACAGAGGGATGAGGCAGGTGGCTTTGCCCATCCAGGCATCTGTGCCGTGCTGCCAGGCATCCTGGCAAACGTGTCTATGAGCGAGTCCAACCCAGGGGCTGTGCAAGCCTCAGGGGGGCCTCAGCAGCCCCCCCCTGCAGTTGCACCCTGCTGCATGCCGAGCACCATGGGCAGCTCTGCTTCTTGCCACCAGTGGGTTTAACCACTTCAGCATTTAAGAAAAACTGCAACAGCAATCTCACTGCCTCCAAAAGAGAGACTGGACACGAAGCTGTCAGTGCCATGTCCACAGGAATAACAGCCAGTGTCACCCCATCCCAAGGTCACAGCCAGGAAGCCTTCGCCCTCCCGAGGAGCTGGGAAACCCATCAAAGAAGGGCCATGGAGAAAGTGGTTTGTTTGTACGGGCTGTTGCTGATATCTCTGCAGGTGGATGCTCTCCTTAGGGATGTCAGGGCCGTGACCTTGCTCAGGAAGAGCAGGAACAATCCCTGGCCAAGGGCAGGGCGGCTGCCGCCTTGCAGACCCGGGGCTGAGGTGACCCGGTGGGAAGCGGCAGTGTCCCCGAGATAAGGGTTTGTTCTGCTCCCAAGAGCCACTGGTACGAGCAGGCATACGCGTAACTTTGTGCTGGCTTCCCCACGAGCAGGCATACGCGTAACTTTGTGCTGGCTTCCCCGTCCCAGGAGTGACGGGGCCGTGGGGTCTTTGCTCAACGGCCCTGTCCCCCTGCTGTGCTTTCAGCACGCGGCTCCTACCTTGCTGCCCCTCCACCCCCACCCCAGGAAGGGAGATTGCACTGATCAGAGCTAATTACAACGTGCAAGCCTTCTGCCTAATTGCTCTGATTAATTATTGACAGGCAGAGCTGCTGCTTTGGGGGCAGCAGGTAAGCGGGGAGCCCTGCGCTCAGGCAGGTGCCTGGTAGCCTCCTGGCTCCTAGTGAAGGCGATGCCGGTGGTGAGAGGTGATGCCACTGTCCTGGAATCCCATGACCGGTCTGGGTGAAGAAACTGTGCTGAGAGGCTCCCGAACATCCACTGTGCTGGGAGCACATCTGGGCATCTCCCGGAGACCGCCAATGCCTAAGTGCTATCGACAAGCAGAAACTCTCTGATGCCATTAGCCGTGCAAGCCATTGATTTTTCTTTGCTGGAACAAGAAACTCATCGGAGCTGAGGCAATCACGGGTGGCACCACTGCTTCCTCTGGGCTGACCCTTTGGAAAAGGGGCATTTTGTAGTCGTTTTCTTTCCAATGGCTAAAAAGCCAAGTCATCGTGGTGTGTTTCTGCATCCGTCTGGCAGGATGCTGGGTCCTGCCCAGTGGCATTGCTGGTAAATCCCAGCTATCTGCCTACCAGAAGCAGATGAAGAGCTCCGGAGCCCTTGGCCATAGACCCCTTCACCATGTCTTTGCCCTTTGTATGGGAGAGGAGACACCACCAGGCATCACCAAAGGAGCTTTCTCTGCTGGGCTTGGGGATGGCTTCATCAGCCATCTCTGCCGCCGAGGAGCCTGCAGTGGCTCCCCTTTGGCCTGGCCATGAGCCTGCTCTTTAACCCAGCCTTAGAGCTCCTCTCAAGG